GACTTCCGGTCAGTGCTCTTTACCTGTAGGACATTCTGGTACTTCTGAACAGAGCAGAGGACTCTTCTGCATGTATTAAATGTACAACAGAAGCTTTTGCAAGCTTTCACAGCAATAGCTGTTCTCTACCACTGGAATCCTCTCATTTCATTCCTGTCCTTTGCATTAAAAGGACAATTATGGCACAAGGTCCATTAATACTACAGCTGTTGAAGTCATCGCTTGTTAGAAGAAGTGGCTTAACTGGCCGACACAGGTATCTTAATTTGGGAAACAGAACATACCCACATGGCAGATTAGTTAGTGTCACTGATTCAGTGACTGGCTGAGATACGAGACATCGCAGCCAGTGAATAGAGATCAGACGTTTATGTCCGAGAACTATAGCACACCAAGACAATCAAATATGTTAAGATGTGACTCTAGTCTCGATATTAGAGCAGTGACTTTATATCAATGAGACTAGTTCTGCCAAGTTTTTATACATGCTTTCAGTAACATTTTAAACAATCTTTCACCACCTTCCAAAATAAGGGAAGTCCCTGTCTACAATCACATACAAGCATGAGAAAAACTTCTTACAAGAAAAAAGTTAACAGTGTTAAGTACCCATGTAACTACTTATATGCAAAGACATTTGTCCCGAGAAGTTCACAAATATTCAAGCACTGCAGCTTATTTGCAGTTCACCATTTTCCTACTTGGATACGCAAAGCTAAGTTACACATGATGTGACCAGGAATCGCAGATCTGAACATGAGCAGGAACTTACTGAGCGCACAACATCAATAACCGGGGCCAGTCCAGCCTCGTTTTTTGCATAATTGAGCCTTGTCTGTTCACTGACAAGCGTCCATAGTTTATCCAAATTGACAGTAGGACAGAACTTTTGGTTTCTCTTCAAGTGATAGTGTCTCATGCCTACTTTTCCAAAGTAACCAGGGTGACTGTCAAAGAAACACAATCCTCGTTAGATCACATTTTTAATTCATCCTGAACAGCACGAACTAGAACTTAACACTGACACCACTGTTTTAGTGGTGGACTTTGTAGTGTTAGGTTAATGGTTGGACTTGATGATCTTAAAGGTCTTTTCCAACCTAAACGATTCTATGATTCTATAAGCATCTTACCTAATCAAAATAATCAAAATACATTATACTTTTATTCATATTAATACTTGTAGTATTTAAGCACAATAATCATTAGTACCCAAACCAAGGGAAAATTATCTTTTTCTTGAACTGTTTGTTCTCCCTTGAACTCACAACTCAATCCCCCTCACTGGTGAACCTGATCCAGCCCTTTATTTCCGGGGCGACCCCAACTCCGTGAATCCAAGGAGGGCTGCACTGCCTGGGGAGCGTCAGTGCTCCTGTCACTAACCTGGTGACTGACTGAGTCAAGAATGGTCACAGCCAGCGAATATAGATTAGTGGTTACTGTCCGAGTACTCTAGCACACCAGGACAATAGGCAGTGTCCAGCTGTGACTCTAGTCTCGGCAATAAGACAAGATCCCTTACCTTTACAGTACGCAGCTAAATAGGGCGCAGTTTGGATTTAACATAACATTTTGAATTTACATAATATTCTGTGTGTGCATCATTAAGCAGGGACCACCTTGTAACAGGCAAGTTTGGTCAAGTTTACCAAATGCCGCACTGAACTCTTAAAGACGCCTGAAAAGGCCTTTGATTTTAGGGTAAATGGGGACATGAGTTGACTGTAGCTATAATGTCACACTTCATGTTAGAAGAAAAAACATGTAGGATTACAGGGAATTTTGTTTATTCACACATAAACGTTAGTTGCTTCTACTTCAGGAACATGCGTTTTGCTAGTATATAAAATGTTAGCTTACTATTTATCAAAGTTAATCCTGTGATGATGCATACCACCAGCGTTACCACGCCCTCCAGGATGTTTCCTGTGTTTGCCTAGAAAGAAAAATTTTTGTTACACTAAGAATGTTACACACAGTACTTGAGCTCAGAGGTACGTTCAGTACCAATTTAAGCTAATTATTCTGATTCTATCCCCTCTTTTGAATTTGTCTCAATTCAGTGAGATGAGCCAACTAAAAACCCTGCAGGAGGACAAAAAAACCATAAGCATAGCATGCCTCTGGTTTAGCTTAGAGGAGTAGAAAATGACACCGGTGCCAGCACAAGTGGGGTGACAAGGAAAGGTAGGAATGGACAAAGAGTTAGAAGCGACACAGCACTGCCCTGTAAGCTTAAGATGTCGCACGGGCTGCGCCTGTCGCCTGACCACCACTCGAGTTAAGTCACAAATCCAGTGAAGTCGTCAAGAACGCGCCAGACTTCCCATCAGCCC